GGCATTTTTGCAGAAGTTTCATCTCAACTAATTTCACCTGGTAATGGGAAAAGATGCTGCACTTGGTAACCAGGTGTCCATTTTCTCTGCTATTTTGTGTTCAAGAATTTCTATAATTAAAGCTTGTTCTTTGAAAAATATTTTGTGCATAAGAATCTATATCAGGACAGTAGAATTTTGCAGTAGAATTTTGTTTCAAAATGAAACATTTCACGTGTTTAATTAGTGACCAACAGTTTCAAATTAGGAAAACATATGCTACATTTCTGAAAAGCTGAATTTTAAATAGCTTTTCTTATATTTGAGAAGAAGATAGACCCTTCAGTTTTGACACCTTGGGTCTTGGTCATGGTCACTTAAGGCTGGAGAGAGGAGGTGTTTGTGCAGCAATGAAGCCACTTCTTGGGCCGCCAGTTTCCTATCAGGGTGCCTGGATTTCAGCTTCCCATTCAGCTTCTTGTTAATGCACATATTGGGACGCGAGCTCAAGCAGTTGCGGCCTCCCCACCCATGTGGCAGGTCTAGGTTGGGTTCCTGACGCCTGGTGCTGGCCGGCCCCAGCCCTGGCTATTGCAGACAATGGTTAGTGAACCAAAGGAAGGTGCATCTTTCTATGTGTATATCTTCCAAAGAAACAAAAATTAATCAAAATTAAAAAAAAAAAGCTGAACGAACAAGTTAATCTATTTCTTTCCTTTTCTTAGAAGTGCCTCTCATGAAGTAGCTCCTAGTTGTAGGAAGAGCTTTAAAGCAGGCAGTGTTTGTGTCAGTGCTTCATACATTGAAGCCATCTACAAATGCTGCTCTTATTGTCTTGAACACATTGGAGGTAACAGTAAGAATGGAGATTCAACAGCAAAGAGGCCTTTGTACTTGACCTAGCAAAACAAATATTTGGAAATTAAATTGGAAACAAAAGATGTGGTTTGACAGGTTTATGCTCTACACAAATGTTTGTTTTGCATCAGCTCCTAATGGCTTAATGAATTGATGGAGAGTTCTGAGTGTCTGAACCTTGGTCAACAGTCTCACTGAGTAGGTACTCCTGGACCGATGCTGAGTGTGGCATCCGAGCTCACAGAGCACGTGTCCTTGGCAGAGGCGCTAGGGTCTGCATGAGACTCAGTCACGTTCAGAAACCTGTCAGCACCCCAAAGGCAACTAGTCCCAGGGCAACTAACACAAAAGAAATACTGTTCAACTTGAAACTAGGAGGAAGTACGCTGTTGAGTCTCTTTCTGTTCACGAAGCAATAACAGTAATATATACTGCATTCCCTCATTCACCACTTCACCAACCCTTATCATAGAGAACAGGGGCCATGTCGAATGCTTTTAATCACAAAACCTGTATTAGTGGCTGAGAACCATTGATGCAAAAAGAGTACAAGGTAAGAAGCAGCAACTGAGTTTTGGTCAAATTCAATTCGGAGACATACACGTGTCATGTAAATTGGGTAGTATGAGAAAGGCTTAAAAATGTTGCTCATCTTTTAAATATTAATTTCAAACTACTTTATTAACATTTCTTAATGTTAAAACAGGTATGGTATTCCTGGACATACACCTTCCACCACATTTCTTTGTTGAGTACTTTATATTTTATCAAAAAATGTGTACTGTTAATAGATTGTAATTTAGTTTCTGTCATAAGACATGCAAATAGTATGTACATTGAAAGGATTGCTTCAGGAGAAACATTGAAGCCATATAATAATCTCCTAAAAAGTAAAAAAAAGAAAAAATACTTATAGACTATAATATTGGTATCATCTCTGATAGATATTAGTAATTTTAGACACCATAATGAAAATCTGCAGCCTGTTTTAACACAATAATTGTATTTCTATCGACTATACAATAGAGTATTCCCATTTAAGCTCAGAATGTCTTGGTATTAAATACTAATACATGTTTAATTGCATAATATGTACAGATTTTGTTTCCAAGGGCCACACGACCAGGGCAGACTTACTTGTCACCTTGGTTTTCGAAGGTGAGGTGTCAACTCTGCATTATGTGTGGCAAGCAGATACTATCAACATTATTTTTTGCATAACGTGCAAGTACGCTATGGCCACAGCGCGTAATACAAATTAGTGGCAAAGTGCTGAGTGAAGGAATCCATAGCAGATTCAGATGCGCAGGGTCAAATATTACCCGTAAACGGCCTGACTCTGCGAAGGTTGCAATAGCAAGAAGCACTATGGCATGCCTTTTGTTTTTGTCAGATAACTTTTATCCTCCCTACAGGCAAAAGGAGGACGTGGGCAGTGACAGACACTGGACCAGGGACAGAAAAGACCAACTGGATAAGTCTTTTCCAAGATGTGTCTCCTCACTCCTTTATTCACCTCAGTGATTCATTTCTGCTTTATAGGAAATTAGCAACATCATGCTGACTCTAACTGCTAAGTGAAAATTTGTTGGCAGAACTGATTTTCAACATACAACCACCATTTCATCCAAAGTACTGTTTTAAAAGAATTTGAGGAGTTATGAGAATAGGAAAATTTTATTTGCAACCCAACTTCTTGTCCCCTTAAGATTACCAAAAAATTCATACTGATTTGACACCTTAGGCAACATTGGACTGGCTGTTAAAAAAAAAGGACTTTCTGCTGCAGCATTTTTTTCTTAAGCTTCGGCAAAGAAAAAACTTAAAGCCTAAGAGTTTCTATTTTATTTTATTACCTATTTTTTAAATACACGAAATCTGGTTTTTATTTTCCTTATTTACCTTTGATTCATAATTTTCTGAATTCTTCTGAACAAGTTATTCTCTTGTTAACAAAAAGTTGGGAAGGGCCCAGTGTGGCAGCTTAGTGGCTAAAGTCCTCATCTTGCCTGTGCCGGGATCCCATATGGGATTCCCCTTTTTAATCCTGGTTCTAATCCCAGGGGCCCTGCTTCCCATCTAACTCCCTGCTTGTGGCCTGGGAAAGCATGGAGGACCGCCAAAGCCTTGGGACTCTGCATCTGCGTTTGAGATCCGAAAGAGGCTCTGGGCTCCTGAAAGGCTCACCACCGGCTGCTGGGGCCACTTTGAGAGTGAAGCAGTGGACAGATGGAAGATTTTTCTTTCTGTAAATCTTTCCAATAAAAACAAATAAATCTTTAAAAGTTTGGAAGCATGCCAGCTGCCTTTAGAGTAGCTCACCTATTTTAAAGTAAGCAAGCACTTGAAGCTTTAGAGGGAGCTTTCAATGATTCCATTTGTTTCGAAAAGGTTCAACATTAAAGCAGCCCAGGTTGCCCACAATTGTGCTCATCAGGAACTGGCAGAAACGGCAAGCAAAGGAAAATGGTGACCGTGGAGCCAGATCTCAAGAAACCCAGAGATCTCCACTAACATCTGGAAAAACAAGAGGAACAAACACGAAGAGAGAAAGAGACAGTTCCACTAAGTGCTAACGACATGGGCCTCTGTCCTCCTGGCACCATTGGCACACTTCCTTTAATATGCTGGCTAAGTTTATTAAGTCTTGTGTTGCAAGAATTTTGAAGGCTGCTTTAAGTTGTGTGACACTCATGTTCTTTATGTAGTTTTTATAGTTAGGACAGGAACAAGTGAGATGAGTTATTGACTTATTCCACTCATATGTATAAAGGGATGTGGCAAATTATGGGGTGTGTGTGGGGGGGGTGGTCTCCTGACATCCCAGTGTCCTATATGGCCGCTGGTGCATGTCCCTGTTGCCCTAGTTCCTTTTCAGCTCCCTGCTGATGCTCTGTGGAAGATGGCATATGTGTGTCTGGGCCCTTTACCCACGTGGGAGACCCGTATGAAGCCCCTGGCTTTCAGCTTCAGCCTGGCCTAGGCCCTGTCAATGTGGCCACCTGGGGAGGGAAACCATGGATGGAAGACTGCTATTTCTCCTTCTTTCTGTAAATCTTTCAAAAATAAATGACTCTTAAAAAAAAAAAAAGCAGTGCTAACTATGGGGTTTTGATTCAGGAGGTCGTTTCCTCACCTACTCATTTTGCTACTATTAATGCCCTTCAAAAATACTAACACTTCGGCTTAAGAAAAAATGTTGCTATAATTGAAGTACTGTGAAATAAAAACAGATGAACCAATCTTAAACAGTAACGAGCAGAGTGATGTCTGTTTTTGTTGAGGCTTGCTCATCATCCTTTGTTTACTAAGCAAAACGTCAACCAGAAAACATGGTTATCATCTTCATCATGAGATTTTGTAACTCTAAAAGGAAGCATGTGTTTGAGATTCAAATTTACAATGTTTCAGGTGACTTTTTCTGTTGTTCTTTTTTAAAATCAAATATCACCAAGAAAGTACGAATTAACATGCACTTCAAGGAGAAGACCAGCCTCGGGTTCCTTCTTCAAGGTAAGTTTACATAAGCAGACAAACCCTACCGTGTCATACCATACAAACAATTTTAATTGTGTAGTTACAGTCAATAACCACTCCTAATCAGAACATTTCTGCATAAAGAAAATTGTGATACACTTATAAAAACAGCCAGCTGTAACAAAATAGCTGGTGTTTTCATAGCCATAAACTCATAAAAAAGAAATACACCTTTATACAGAAATTTTATACAGATGTAGCTTTAAAATTGATTGTAAACCAAAGGAAGACACATTGCAAACATCAATTGTTTCACATTAATTGCATAATTTTCTAAGGTGATCTATTAGTTTTATTTACCTAAGCTTATTTGCATGATAGTAAAAATTGCATACAACAATAAGAGTGAAGCTTATAGTATGAACTGCTTGGATAACATAGAGCACTTTTTATAGGCAACTGTGTAAAGCACATTTTCTCTATTTAAAACTTTTAAGACACTTTGTTTTACTGCCCATCAAAATACATTTATAAATAGAAAAGAATCAGTATGGTAACAAGAGAAGCAATATTACATTTAACGGAAACTTCTAAAAATTAATTACAACATGATGCGGCAGGATCTACAAATAAATAATGAGGACTAAACTGTGTTTCACATTTTCTGTTCTTTTTTTTTTTAAAAAAAAAATCATGTAACAATGTGAATGAAAAAATTACAGTGAACTTTTATTTCCAAAATAAAAACAAATTTGAATTACGGCAGTGCCATATAATACAAGGCATTTGTTGGCATATGTCATTTTTAAACTGCATTCCACAGTCTATAGTTCTTTTGTAACATACAATAGAGTAACAAACTCTTTTTTTTTTCCTTTTTTTTTTTCAAAATAAGGGGTAAGTTTCCAAAGATCAGTGTGGAGTGTTACAGAAATAATTAAAGGAAAGGAAAGCATAATCACAGAAGTTATAATGCTTGTTTTGAGGCTCCAGAATAATAATTAAAGAATAAAAAAGCACGGGTCTCATGCTTACGGGTACACACCGTGGTGTGCTCCGTGAACACAGATTTTCATACCAAACAATCCTTGCTTCACCTGGGGCTGCCAAGCAGTTTGTAAAACATTAGTGCAGTCTGCATTATGCCTTTCCCAACTTTCCTGTTTGTGCAAGTTTCTGAAGATTCACTGGGCAAACAATGACCAACAAAGGTTTTCTGAGAATGCAATGTGGACTTTTCATCTTGTCAGTAAATACCGGGGGCGTTGATGAATGAAAATAATACTGTAATGTCAGTCTTTTAAATCAGCACTAATGTCTGTGTTTCCTTCCACCGACAACTCATCTTCTAGTTTGACTGAAAAAAGGGTGTTAGCATTTTTATCTTGGACACTCTCTTCTAAATCCTTAAGCAATTCCTCATCTTTATATTCTGCCACATCCACCTCTAAACCGGAATTATCCTTCAGTTTGCCGTGATGCTTGAGATAGTAGCGCTGGTTCTGAAAGAACTTGATGATGGTGTACTTGGGCAGGTCGAGCTGGGCGGACAGAGTCTGGATGGCCTCTTCGTCGGGGTACAGGCCCACGTCTTGGATGAAACTCTGCAGGATTCCCAAGGCTTCCACTGAAATTTTTGTTCGCGGCCGTGTCTTCTGCCGGTTCTCCTCGTCCGACTCGGCAGGTGAGGCCACGGTGGGCTGCCGTGGCGGGAGCCGGGGGCCTGCCGGGGGCTGCTGCTGTGGCTGTGGGGGCGGCGGTGCCGGCTGCTGTTGCTGCTGCTGCTGCTGCTGCTGCTGCAAGAGAAACAATCAATCAGAGTTGTGCTTTTGCATGTTTCACACAAAGCCATCTAGAACTGGGAAGCACATGGTTATGAATCCCACATACAGCCTCTTCTTTGCGGGGACAAAGATTCACCATGAAAAGGCAGGGCAGTTAGAAAACAGGATGATCCTCCGTGGGAAGGGATGAATTCATACAACTCTGGGGGCCTCTCATGCTCACTGAGCAGAGATCGTGAGCCACCAACTTCGTCAGGACACCCAGCAATGGCAAAGATGGCAACGCAAACCAGGACGGAAATGAATGACAAAGGTTTATCACCAAGATTGAGAAGCAAAGACGTTTTAGAAAGGTGATGTACAGAGCTTGAGGACAGAACTTGGAGTGTGACCCCTTAAAACTCAATGGCTCAAATACGGAGCGTGCAGAGAAGCAACCCCTCTTTCTGAGCATTAGCCTGTCTGAGGCCAAACGGCTTCTGAGAGATTTCTCAAACTACACTAGGGGGCCACCCCAAATTTTTTTTCTTAACAAATAAAGGCATAATCAATCACATGATGGTTACTAAATTGTTCTATCACAAACCCAGATGTGATTTGTTCAAAGCTAGTATGTGCTTAATTTCCACTTACAAATGCGTGATATGTGAACATGCTATAAACACTTGATATCCATAATTCTTATCAGCAAACCAAATCGACCCAGTAATAGCAAAGAAGGAGGCTTGCATAGGGCCTGAGCGTTTTCGTTTATCCCCTTAAGAAGCAACTTTATTAAAAACAATTTACATTTTCAAACAAGTAATATTTTTAATATTAATGTATGTTTCTTTTTTGTTTTCCTAAAATAGTTAAGTTTTTCAGGCTTTTCCCATTATTTTAGTGCCTGCTATCCTCAGGGATTCTCTTTTTTCAATTTGGTTTGTCTTTAATAACATGCAATGATTTTTTTTTTCCTGGTAGACAGATAACTCCATTATTGTTTTTAGCTACATGGACATTCTGGAATCCTCCCTTTCCCTACACACAGTCATCAAGAAATAATGTAGGTGATTGTACCAAGATAGGAAATTAAGACTCTGAAAGACCATGGAATTTTCCCTTAAAACAGAAATCTAAGAACATTAAAAGAGAAACAAATCAATACAACTCAAGTTCAATTACAACATATTTCCTAAGCAATCAAAGCCTTACAAGTACCAACAAAGTGCCCAATCTCGCAACTTTCCAATGCAAACTCACAGGAGAGTTCTCCAGGTGGAAGAATGGAAGTAGGTTCCATGGCATGGCAAACCACGCACACGGCTGAATCTGCTGGCAAGGTGGTCTTTGTCCACGCCCACGTTAGCACTGTTCTGTGCAAGCTGGAAAATCCTGACCAAGGGAGCAGGTTTGATGCCACCCCTCTGCCTCCCTTTCCTGCTGGCACTGGTAACCTGTCCCGCTCACCTGGGGAGCAGCACCGAGCCACGGTGCAGGGGTCGGCAGGCCTGGTAAGAAACCGCCTCTAGACTCTCCTTTGCCAAAGCTGGTGGGGGAGGGGCTCTAAAGGAAAGACAAACAGAAATGACTCGCCCTAGGCCACACTCCATCAGGGCATGGGGACACTGCTACAAGGTGAGGGAAGAGCCAGGGAGCACACAGCACGATTTCAGTTAGGTTTCCCTTCCATTCTGTTTTTGGACAGAATCCAGGTATAAAAATTGTGATTCCACAAACTTCCTTTACAGAGACAGCAGCAATTCCTTTCCTCAGGGACAGTACGGTATTAACTAAGAAGGAGGTGGTGTTTCAAAGTCTGATTTTTAAAAAACATTCACAAAAAATCCAAGATCTCACACAAAAGCCCAGTATGAGCTAAGACATATTTGCCAAAACTGAAGTGAAAAAGGGGATCCTATCACTCCGGGGATGGTGGACGAGGGGAGAGAGAATGCACATACTGCAAAAAGTACGTTAATATTTCTTTTATTCTCCCAAGCAGGAAGGCAACGCATTTCTACTGTTATCTCTTGTTCAAAGGCCTAGTTTAGACTGGTGAGAAAAAGAGAAACATTCACTTCCCTGCTAGGTTTACGGCTTTGTTTACTTGGTGCTGTATGGAATTGGCCAAGGTGAACGAACCTGAATCTGCTCTGTTGGCACGTGAATGATGTGGGGAGGCCTGTCGCCATGGTGATGCACTGCGTTGCTCTCCTGTTCGTAAATGGCATCCCGTTCTGGCTGAGGAAGACTGAGGAACCGACGGATCATGGAGAGGTTCTCCCACAGGGTCCTATTTTCTGGAGAAGGATCTTCTTTCCAGCGTAACAGCTCACACAACCATCCCTTAAGACAAGGGCGTAACAGGTTAGTTTGTGTTAGGGGTTCTGCAGGAAGGAGCTGTCATCTCCCACTAGAAGCTAAAAAGGTAAGATAATGTGAATAAACTTTGTTCAAAAACTTCGAAAACTCCAATCTGTGTTACATTTTTTCTCTTAGCATGCTGAGGGAGGATAACTGTTACCAAGGGGGTGGGCTGATTCAACAGAGGCTCAGAATTAAATATTGAAGGAGAGTACTTGTCATGGACTCAGCAATACGCAGAACAACAAAACAGGTGCTTCTTGACTGGTGAGTGACAAGAAAAGATGTCTGAATGGTAGAACAGACTAGATTTTTTTTCCCTAAAAGTATTTCCTAAGTTCCTAATTCTTGTATTAAAAGTCAGACTATGTGTATATTTGTGTAAGGGAGAGAGGACATGCAGCACTTGTGTCAGACAAGAACCCTGCCCAATACAAGGTGCAACGAGAGTGAGCATGGTAATTCTCCAAAGAATAATCCAGAAAGAGACCTTGCAATCCCGTATTTCCCTCTACCATGTTATAAGTGTTAAGCCTTATCAGAACAGAATTTTAATCGGCTTCCCAGGCCGACAGAGAAGAACGTGTGCAAAGAACAACAAAACCTGAACCTTTTCTGATACCTCTGAAAGCCAGCAATTAATCCTGGGATTATCTATCAAGAGCCAAGCAGCCCAACAGAGCATGACTGTTGATCCACTATCTCGTGTCTTCACCTCCACTGTCATGCTCTAGACACTGACAAAGGGTAGGTTGTCCCACTTTGACCATGTGCCTCCGAGCTACTGTGCAACCTGCACACAGTTCCCAGTGGTGCTCTGCTCTGCAAGAGTATCGTGGAGCCAACTACTTGGAGATGCTGGGCAGGTTCCTTTATTTCCTTACTCATGCCTGCCCTCGGTGTGGTCATTCAGTGTTAGGAGATCCCTGACCCTTGCTTCAAAATATAGACAACTCACTCCACTCCTCAACCTTCCAGTGGTCACCATCCCCACTCTTCCTGTTACCTTCTCTATGAAGTTGGATTTGAGTTGAGACCACTTTCTCACTGGACTCTTCCCAATCCCCTCATTTCTTCTAAGACCTCTATCAGATAAGCATCTCAGTCCCAGGCTCTGCTTTTGCAGTATCCTAAGACAATGGGGTTTCTTGGAAATTAAGTAAATTAGCTCAACAAGAAGAAAATTAACCCAGTTTATTATATGATTATTATACTCAATTGAGAAAGTTTTTATGTTATTAGGGGTGAAAGTAGAGAACAGCATGGGTTTCTTTGCTTTACCCGATAAAGGCTTCTTCCGAATGCAGTATACAGTACAAAGAAATATAGGCTGTTTTCCTCAATACTGCTTATTTCAGAGATTCTCAAAGATGAAAAACTGATATATGAACTTCCCAAGGTCCACCTCCTAGCAAATGGTTAGCTGTTGCTAATCTCTTGAGATTGAATTTTTCTAAGAGTTCCAACTTTCTACTCAGCATCTTTTAATTAGACAAATATATATAAGAGGATGGTCTGATATATTCATTCACTGCCACTAGATACAAAATCCAGTTATCGAACAGGCAGTATTCACGCTGGCAAGCACAAGAGCAAGGACTTGGGGCTGCAGCATGCATTGGCATATGTGTGAGCCAAGCTACACTGCAATATCCACCAGTTCACATGATGGTCGGGAATGGGCCAGGCCAGGTCAGGCTAGACCAGGCTGCTGAACCCATCAGTAAGAGCTCAGACTGGGTCAGAGTATTCTCTGACACAAGTAAGACCAAGGGCGGGGTACAGGCCTGACAGGGGAACTTCAGGGACTCCCTTGCTGGATTACTGCTTCCACCGGTGAGTGTGAGAGTTGGGACTGGAGGCAGGCTGGTCTGGGGGCAAGCCAGGCTGGGCTAGGCTGCTGCACTCTCTGGTGTACATGAAAGCCCAATGGGATAGACCAGGCTAGTCTGCAGCATATGCTGCTTCCAAGGCTGGGTGCGAACCTTTTAGGGGTTATTGGGCATCACTCCTAAAAGGTTAGGCACCTGCTGGTGTATACGATGGGCTGGGCTAGGCTGCAGGACCCATCAGCTCATGAGTGATGGGGCTAGGGGTAGAACTGACCAGGCAGCTGCATCTACGGGTATGTGCATTGGCTGGTGTAGCTGACAGATCAGATTGTACCAGATCCTGCACTGGCTGGTGCACACAAAAATAAAGTTTGAGGTCAGCCCGGCAGGACTCAAATCCTGGCCATAGGGGGGAAAAATCATAAAATCATAATATATGTGGTAAAGCCTTACAGTACGTGAGTTGAGACTGAGCCCCCCCACCATCACTAATGCCTGTGCAATGGTCAGCATGCCCAGATGCACACAGAGGCAGGACAGCCACCTCATCTAGGCCAGCAGAGGATTCTGAGCGCCTCATCAGAGGATGGAAAGCTTAAAGGTCAGCTCCAGAACAACTAAGCTGAAGTGTTCAGACTCACACTTACGATGCCTTGGAGATGCTTAGTTTTTGTTTTTTTTTTTTCCTTTGCAACTAGATATTTACTACCTGGATTAAGCCATGAAAAAGTCATATATATTTCCTATATCTAAGTTACTTTGTTCTAGCACTCTCACTCTGTTCTTAGCGAATGGGTGTTAGGAGGGCATCTTTCTGTAAGCCGGGATACTGTATTAGTGACTGTCACCCTGCCTCACCTTTTCTGTTTCAGCAGTCAGGACTGAGAAGGCTCCTATGTCTCAACACAGCAAAGCACATCATTTTATTTATTTTTCAAGAGAAGTCAGAAGGTTCATAAACCACAGAGAATTTTTTTTTCAACTTGTCTAGTACTCTATGGCAAAAAGTATTAAACAGTAAACATCTACAAATTAAAAAAAAATGCTTGTAACTAAAAATTGCTAAAATGTTCAATTAAGAATAATTTATGGAAGAAAAGCTTGGAGAGAGCTGAAAAATTCCCAGTGATTTTTCACATCCTTTAGAAACTTTTTAAAGTAATGCAGATCTGCTGGTGGGTGTATGTATGTGAAAAAAACATGTGGATCACAGATGTTCTTTGAAAAAGAAAATCATTAGTTTTTTTAAAATGGCTAATAATGATAGCTAATTCTTAAACAATCACATTCATGCTGGTTTAACAAATATTTCAGAAAAAGAGCCCTGACTCATTCAACAAATATTTTGCTTGTATTCTTGCTTCTGCATCTCCATACTTAGGAGACAGATTCTTATTTTTATTAATTGCCCATGACTAACATAACATTTCCAGTAGTTTGCTATTAACCTCTGCCCTTAAATTAATACTTCTAATTCCTTATCTAAAAATAACTGGATGAATTTTAAGTTGAAGCATGTCTCCGCTAGTCTCGCATGAGAAATAATTGACTTCAAGAGACCGAAATCAGATACTTCTTAGAAAAACATTTGAGCATGCGTCTGGGGACTGTTGGTTCCACCAGCGCACTCCGCAAAACAAGGCGCGTGGACGTGTGTGTGTGTGAATATAGTTCTTGAAGTGTATCTTTCTTAAGCATAACAGAGATTTGTACGTTTGTTCTTCCTCGGTGTAGAAGAGGAGTGGCACGCTCAACCAACACGGGCAGAAGTAACGTCTACCCTACTATTACTGCTTTAATGTCTTGGAGTAGTTTGCCTACTTCAAATCCAATCGATTGTGACTCTATTAATGATGACAGCAATCTGACCTGTTTCATAGAGGATGACTCAGGAAGCCCAGTGCTAATTTCTCGATGCCTTTTTTTCTAGGTCAGTTTGCACAAGTGCTATTGTCACAGCAAGTGACCTTGGAGTGCAATAAACAGTGTGTCAGAATATATGCAATATCTGACAAATAAAAATCATCATTCCCCAAAGTACTGCACTGGTTTTTAAATGACAATGGTATAGATTTACTTCAAATGAAAGATGGGGGATGAAAGGCAGTGCTGTTTTTTTTTTTTTCCAAATGTGAATGAACATAATTACATCTGAAAGAGAAGGATATGCGACTTGATTTACTGTTAAGACTACAGGCAGAAGTAGGGACTTCCTCTCAAAATTAAATTGATCGCAATTGGTTCTGAACAGGAGAAAAGACACGGAGTCAGAATCCTGAGACCAATGCATTCTCAGAAAACTAAAATGGTACTAGGAATGATCTAAACTTTAAAATGTAGTAAATTCGCCAACCAACATTACGCTGCATATAAAGAGGGCAAAATATAAACAGTGGCCACATGTAAATACATTGGTAAAACTTCCAGGATGTTACTACTTTTCAAACCGACAAAGTTTAATTTGACACCTTCTGTTCTAAACCCTTTGTTTCTATTCAAAATCACGCCTTGAGCTGTTGCTATCAATCACAGCACTCCCCCTATTACTTAAAAAAACTGGCATGGACCCTGAATAAGCTGAAAATGCCATGCAGATGAATTCTAGGATAATATGTTCAAACCTGTTATATACAACACAAATCCTGTAAAGTTATGTATTGTAAACCTACATTTTATGAGAACTAAAAGTCTTAAATCCATCTGCCACAAAGGAAATACTGTTATGTACTTTATAGTAACCAAGAACCATCTGCAAATGTCTTGCTACCGTAAGCAAGAAAACAGCGCAAAAGACGCTAAACCTAAGACGGAAATAAATAACATCGCTTTCACTGGTTCTGGTTAGAGATCTATTAAAGAAATGTAAAATTGGGAGAAAAAAAAAAGCCAAAGAGAAAATACAGAATGACTGCCAAACCAGCACGGCAAAAAAGCAAAACAAACTCAATGACAACACAATGGCAATTTACTATGGTCCATGAAACACATGACTGTATGCTCATTTTAAAGGAAAAATTAGCAGTTTTAAACTCAATATTCTAATGCTGTGCTTTACTGACACGATCTTGTTGTACCACATTCAAATAAAAATCCTGGCACCTTCCTCTCTCAGCTGCTAATTTCCAACCAAACGAAATCTCTGATTTCACT